GTGCCTATAACCTTCGACCTAGCAATACATTACTATGTCTGTTTCCGGAGATAATAAGGGGAAAAGGAAAAGAACCTATATGTTCTAAAATATTTATAGCAGCTCTCTTTGTCATGGCAAAGAACCGGAAATTGTGGGGATGTCCATCAATTAGGAAATGGCTGAACAAATTGTGGTATAGGATTGTGAAAGAATACTACAGTGCTATAAGAAATGATGAGCTCCATGATCTTAGAAAAAACATGAATAAAATTGCACAAAATAATGAAGAACAAAATGAGCAGAACCAAGAGAATGTTGTATACAGTAACAACAATATTGTTTTAAGAATAACTTTGAGAAGGGGCAGCTAGGTGGCACAGTGGATAAAGCTCTGGTTTTGGAGTCAAGAGGACCTGGATTCAAATACGACCTCACACACATGACACTTACTAGCTGTGTGACCCTGAGCAAGTCACTTAGCCCTGATTGCCTCACCAAAAAAAAAAGAATAACTTTGACTGACTTAGTCATTTTGACTACCCCCAAATTAACTACAAAGGACTTATGAAGGAATATGCTATCTGCATCTAGAGAAAGAACTGAGAAATAGATGTACAGAATTGTTTTACATATATATGTACACATATACATATACATATATGCATGCACACATATTTGTGCCTAATGGTAGCCATCTCTAGGGTGGAGGGGGAGGGGAAAAAAGGGAAAAAAGAAAGTTACACGATAACTTTATGATATATTTAAAAGGAATAGCAATTTGTAGTTTCACATACCAAAAAAAAAAGTGAATAAGAGAAGAGGAAAAATGGTGAGCAGGATGCAACTGCCTTCCAGCTACTTTGTTTGATTAAGTGTTTGACAGAGAGATCTGAACCCTTTAAAGACCAAATGCAGGGAGTAAGTTCAATGAGTCATATCAGGAGCAGAGCTGTATTGGGATCATGGAAAGCAGAAAATAATGGCAAGGTGAGGCCATTACAACACTGTGCAAAAACTGTGTCTCTTTTATTGAGGGGCAAATGGGTCTGTCATACCCTTTCCACATTCCGCTTCACTCCTCTCCAAGCTTAGGTATGAACAGAATGAGGTAGCTTGGACTGAATGATTAAAGCTGGTGGCTTTCTGAATGGATTAATGAGAGTTGATGCTGACCATCAATGATATCTTTTTTCAACTTTTTTTTTATTGTTTTAATTAAATATTTATTTTAACTATGTGTGGAGGCTTGAGTAATTAGGGAGCACAAAATGGATCAAGATGATGGGGAGGATTTTTCCTAGAGTTGGATGGAAGTGTTCCATGAGCTTTGATTGTAAAAGATACACTTAAAAACCTTCCCAACATGAAAGGTAACACTACCCATAAAAAGCTTCACCTAAGAGGAGAGAGTAGCTAGCTCTCTGAGAGATGGAGCAATCTTTGAAGTTACAGAAAATTTCCCTCTACCCTAAGAAGGTATTCTTAATAAGTGGGGATAAGTATGAGCACTATACTCATAATCTTTACCATGTTATAGGATCAAGCACTTGTCTTCAAATCTACCGACTCCCAGCTCCTTAGGTGCTATGTATGTAATATAATATGAAATAAACTCCTACATAGTACTTGCAATGCGCCAGAGACTGTGCTAAACGCTTTACAAATATTATTTCATTTGATCCCTATAAAAAACCTGTGAAGTAGGCTTTCTTTGTCTCATTTTACAGTTGAGGAAACTTAGGCAAATAGAAGTTAAGTAATTTGCCCTGTATTATATGCCTAGTAAGTGTTGAAGCCAAATTTGAATTCAGATGTTCCTGACTGCAAACCAGCTTTCTATCTACTGCATCATCCAGCTGTGTCAAGTATGTGTTGAGCTGTGATGATGATGATGATGATGATGATGATGATGATGATGACGATGACAATGACGATGACAAAATAAGACTTAAAGTGATTTCTATATAACAATCCTTCAGGGAATACATTATTTTCCCCTTTTTAGAGATGAGAAAATGTAAACCTGGGGAGTTTAAATAACTTATCCAAGGTCACACAGGTAGTAAAAGGCAAGATTCAAACCCAGATCTTCTGAATCTAAAGCATTTTTTCTCTTTTACCATTACTACTCAATTAAAGCTGCTTTTGCATAACCCATAAGTCAATAAAAAAAACCCATAAAGTATTACTGTGTGTCTGATTACAGATCTATTTTGGAGTCTTGACTTCACTGTGATCTAGAAATCTAATGGGGAAAATGATGGGGAACATTTCCTTAATAAAGCTCATGGGAAAAGAAGTCATTTTCCTTCAGAATTATAGTCTCTAATGGGAGAAAACCACAGTAGAGACCGTTTTTTTGACCATGATATTCTCTGAGGAAGCTGTGGAGATGCCTATAACTATCCCACTGGTTGGGCTGAAGAGACAATGGGACAGTAGAAACGCAGTAAGAAGAGAAGAGAAGAATTCCACCAAAACTGGTAAAGGTGAGTGTAAGATATGACGAGGACTTTTTTTTCAGGATGGTTCCCAAGTTGGGGGTGAAAGAATATTCCTGCTCTGCTATGGAAAAGAAACTCACACAGTTGAATCCTTTTGGAAGGACATAGACATAGGTGGGTTTGAGAAGAACCAGCTCAGATTATGTGGGTAGATGAAGGGTTGGGAGAAATGGCAATGTCCCACAATTCTACTGTTAGGAAACAAAGACAATCACAGGAACACAGAAAGCCTGAGAAGTCAAAAGCTCATAGAGCTGGGAGTACCTTAGAGATTAATTTCTCTAACCTCTTCACATTTCATTGGAAGAAACTGAGCCTCAGAAAGGAAAAAGATTGAGCTCAGAATCACACAGGAATGAGCAGAAGCAGAATTCAAACTTCTAGATCCAGTGCTCTTTCCTTTATACCACTTAGCTAGTAGATTTCTTAGTATGTTGGAACTGGATAATTTTGATTTTTTTTCCCCCATACATATTATGGCTGCCTGGTGCTTTCTGGGTTTAACCACCACCACAACAATAATAATAGGCAAATTTTACATAGTGCCTACTGTGTGCCAGGTACTGTGCTAAACATTTTACAAATATCTCATTTTATCTTCAGAACAACCATGGGAAATAGGTGCTAATATTATCCCACTTTACAGATGAAGGAAACTGAGGAAAACAGAGATCAAGTAACTTGCCCAGACTCACACAGCTACTAATTGTCTAAGGCCAGATTTGAACTCAGGTCTTCCTGACCCCAAACCTGGTCACTCTATTCACTATGCCACTTACAAGAGAATATTTTATTAAGCAGGTTCCCATGAAGGCCTGAATTTTTTTTTATCCAGGTCAATAAAGGTCACCAATAAAGACAAAAATAAAGAGATAGGAAAGTCATTATGTTGATGAATGCATTATAGATCCTCTCTTTCCTCCTTATCAACCTTCCTCCAAACCCAAATCTATCTCCACTTTTATGGGCTTTTTGAATTTCACAGAATCTCTTAGTGGGAAGGTCCCTTAGAGATAAATTAATGCAACCCATACCTGAATGGAAATAATCTCCACAACATCTTCAGTAAATATCCAATAAGCCTTCATTTCAATGAAATGATATGGGGAGCCCATTACCATTTATTTCACTTTCATATAGCTCTACTTATAAGCAAATGTTTTCCCTGTAGGTGATCTTACTCTGCCTCTTTTCACTTTCTACTCACTGCTCCTATTTCTCCCTTTTGAGACCAAGCAGAACAGATTTAATCCCACTTTCAAATACTAACCCTTCAAATACATGAAGAAAGTTTTCCTGCTTTTGTTAAGTCCTCTTTTCTCCTTGCTAATATCTCCAATTCCTGCCCCATATGACATGAACTCCAGACCTTTTGCCATCCCGCTTGCCTCTTCTGGATTATCTACAGCTACAATAATGTCCTTCCTATAATGCGATGACCAGCTAAGGTCTGAACATGTCAGAACACAACGTGCCTGTCATTGTCTTCATCTTGCACACCTCATGTTTTATTGTTGTTGTCAAATTCTCTTTAGCTTCTTTTGATTGCCATATCACATTATTGACTCATTTTGAGTTTGTAGTTTACTCAAATTCCTAGATTTTTTTCATATAAACTGCTTTCTAGTCACACCTCTTCTGCCGTTTCTTAGGATCATAGACGTCCAGATCCAGAGCTGTAAGGGACTTTAGAGGCCATCTAATTTAACCTCTTCATTTTGTAGTTAAAGAAATTAAAACTCAGCAATGTCAACTGACTTGCACAAGGTTATACAAATGTTGTAAATGGCAAAGCTAGATTTTGAACTCTGACCTTTTGACATTAAATACAGCACTCATTCTACTGTACCATGTTGTTTCCAAACTTGTATGATTGCTTTTTTGGAAGACAAGTATAGGACTTTACATTTATCCTGATTAGATTTTATTTTCTGTGATCCACCCTAATGTTCTAACCTCTGGAGAATGTCTTCCTTTCAAATGTATGCTATTTCTACTGTCTTTATAGATCACATGCAAATTTGATTAATTTATTTTGTTGGGTCCTAAATGTTTCCCTGATAATTACCATAAACCTGACTCTCTCCTTTTTAACTGCTTAGCTCTTATGCTTACATGTTACTCACTTCCCTAACCCTGCTAGACACTCCTTTACCTCTAATCTTCTAATAGTGAGTCTGTGCTGAATTCAGTGACAGCTTCCATGATTTGCAAAAACCTCAAGAGTATGGAGAGATATCATGTACTTCTGCCACTCTTGAATTTAACATTTATTTTGGTAAGAAACGTTCTCAGTCTTTGAAACTAAATTTGGAGTCTTGTTATTACAAGCAGTTACAAAAATACATTAACAGAGTTGAAGATTTTAGGTTTGGTTCTCAAAATAAAACCAGGATCAGGTACCTGGGCATCTATCTATTCATCTATCTACCTACCAATCTATCTATCTATCTATCTATCTATCTATCTATCTATCTGTCTATCTCGGTTTTAACAGGTGAGCCTTCTGAGGATATGGAGAGGAAAAACCAGACAGGAATATCTGAGTTTTTCTTCTCTGGATTTCCCCAGTTCCAAGATGGTGGCTTCTTGTTCTTCATCCCTTTGCTCCTTATGTACATGTTTGTTGTCATTGGGAACCTCATGATTTCCATTGTTATAAGGCTAGATTCCCAACTCCACAACCCCATGTACACTTTCATTGGCATCTTCTCCTTCCTGGAGATCTGGTACACCACAGCCACCATTCCCAAGATGCTCTCCAACTTGGTTAATGACCAGAAGACCATCTCCTTCGCTGGTTGCCTCCTACAGATGTACTTTTTCCACTCCTTGGAAATTCTGAGGGCATATTACTGACCATGATGGCCATTGATAGGTACATTGCTGTCTGCAACCCACTCCGCTATCCTACCATTATGACACCTAGACTGTGTGGCCAGCTGATCACAGGTTCCTGCATTTTTGGCTTTCTCGTGCTGCTCCCTGAGATCATATGGATATCCACCTTGCCCTTCTGTGGTTCCAACCAGATTCACCAGCTCTTCTGTGATTTTGCTCCTGTGCTGAGCTTGGTCTGCACAGACACCTCCGTGATTCTAGTTGAGGATGTGGTCCATGCTATTGCCATCCTAACTGCTGTGCTGATCATTACCCTCTCCTACATCCGGATCATTGCTGTGATCCTGAGTATCCCCTCAGTTGAAGGCCGTCACAAAGCTTTCTCCACATGTGCCTCTCATCTCATTGTCTTCATCATGTTCTATGGCAGTGTATCACTCATGTATTTACGCTTCTCAGCCACTTTCCCACCATTCTTGAATAGGACCATTGCCCTCATGTTTGCTGTCCTTGCTCCCTTTTATAACCCTGTTATCTACAGTCTGAGGAATAAAGACATGAAAGAGGCCATCAAGAAACTCCTTTGTCCTCAGAAGGCCTTTAGCATTTCAGGGGCTTAGTTATGAGTCGTAGAAACTTGTTCAAAGGGGACCTCTTCCCCCAATACTAAGATAGATTCCCTGGTAAGTTATTCCCTGAAATCATGTTTTTTTTTTTCCCTTGATCAATGATTTTCTTTTTAGTTTGAATCCTGGCTCTCTGATTTGGAAGTTGGTGGGATAATGAGAAGCATTCTAAGGGTTGGGAAGCTGGGCAGAAGAAAATAATTTTCCTCTAAAATTTAAGAATGGTTGAGGATTTTCTATCCTTTGGAAACTCCAAGTGGTACATTGTTTTACCCTGTGCAGCCACCTAAGCTAAATAATAATAAATTTTATTGTATTGACTTCTCAAAGATTTTTCATTTAGCTCTTTCTATTTATTGGCACAAGACTCCTATGGTAAAAAGTGAGTAGAGATTTTCCCTATGTTGTAAATGAGAAATAAAGCTCAGAAGGATATAAGGATTTTCTCAGTGAGTTCCAGTTTGGTGCCACAATAAGAATTCAAGTTCCCTAACTCTCTGCTCAGGGACCTATTTAATTCACCTTACTGACTTTGCCTCATGCAAGTGCCACATGTTCTGAGGCGTATGTATCAGTCCTATCTGTAAAATGGTAGCATGTTGCTTCTGCAACAGTGACTTAGTGATGTCATTATGATGGGCACTGAGCAGACCATTTTGAATGGACTTGGAGTCAACTCTGGGACCCCATTGTCTCTGCTATTCATTGTACTCCAGAGGCTGTTCATTTCTAGATACTAAGTCTATAATGCCTATAGCTTCTCAGCAAGACAGAGGTGTCTGGTGAGGTTTTCACAGTCCAAATGGATATCCTCATCTGATACATAAATAATAATGGCAGAAACTTTACTTTTCTCTTTGAATTTATGCAGTTCCTTCTAGCATAGTGTTGCATGTTTGGTGAATTGATTTTTTTTTCAGCAAATAAAAGGAATATAGTTCAGGACTTTTGAGTTCTGAGCTCCAAGTTCCTTATTCTTTCCTCACACCCACTATAGAAAAGAGGAAGAAAGGTCTCATTATATCTTTGCTACAATTATCTAGAATATGATAGCCTTTTTGTAAGTCTTTCTGGGCTAGATCTTCATGGAACTTGCCTTTCTGTCATTCTCATCTCTCTCTCTCTCTCTCTCCCCAAAAGTCATTGACATGAGCGCACAATTGGAATGCTTTGTCTCATTACCAATTGCTGATCCTTGGCAAGTCACTTTTACTGATGTTTGCCTCAGTTTCCTTATTTGGAAAATGAGGATAACATTAGCACTTAACTCCCAGGGTTTTTGTGAGGATCAAATGAGATAATATTTGCAAAATGCTTAACACAATGCCTGCCACATAATAAGTACTATATAGATGTTACCTATTGGGACTTCTGGGAACCAATATGGAGGAGTAAGCAGTAGATCATCATAATTCTCCCATATCAAACTCCGAACAACCATAAAATAGTGCCCCCAAACAAACTGAATAGCAGAAAGAGCAAAAAGACAGGGTGAAACAATCTTTTCATCCAAGAAACTTGGAAAATAGGCGAGAAATGTCTGTCCAGTAAAAGGTGAATGCAGTCTGAAACAAGAAGTGTCCCATAAGCCACCAGCAAACCTCACCTCAGCAAACCAGTGGGAGATCCTGAGCCCCAGTGCAGTGGAGCAGGCAAATGCCAACACCAGGGACCCCCAAAGGGCTCAGTATAGGGAGAGGAATGGGCAGACTTCAGCTGTAAGAACCACCACGTGCTTCAGCAGAGACCTGGGCAAACAGACAGCCAGTGGCCAGACCTCCTCTACCTTTAGTATAGCTCTGATGAAACGCACTGGCCTCAGGATACAAGACACCAACACTAGGACCTGAGCTCAGCACCAGGTAAGCTTCCAGACCCCCACAGCCTCCAGCAGTGCCAACCACTCCCACCATATCCCTTCGGCACAGCACCAATATGAGGGTCCCCTGTGGGCCTCAGGACAACACTAGTGCACCACCAAGTAAATAGCCAGGGCCTGAAGCCCCTGGCACAAAAAGCCTGAGACAGTGCCACTTCCACTCCAGAGGCACAGCTCAAATTTAAAAGAAAGGAAAAAGCTCTACCCCCCCCAAAAAAAAATGAGCGAAAGAAAAAACAACAAAAAATAATCTGACCATAGAAAGTTATTATGGTGAGAAGGACAATCAAGATACAAACTCAGAAGAAGACAATAATGTCAAAACACCTATGGACAAAACCCCAAAGGAAAACAGGAAATGGTCTCAATCTCAGAAAGAACTCATGGAAGAGCTCAAAAAGGAGCTTAAAAATCAAATAAGATATGTAAAAGAAAAATTGAGAAAAGAGAGTGATGCCAGAGAATTATGAAAAAAGAGTCAACAGCTTGGAAAAAGAAAACAACTGCTTAAAAAGTAGAATTGGTCAAATTGAAAAGGAGATACAAAAATCCACTGAAGAAAATAACTCCTTAAAAATACAATTGACCAAATGGAAAAGAAGTACAAAAGTAACTGAGGAAAACAATTCCTTAAAAGTTAGAACTGGGAAATTGGAAGCTAATGACTCTATGAGACATCAAGAATCAATCAAATAAATTCAAAGGAATGAAAGAATAGAATAAAATATAAAATGCCTCATTTGAAAAACAAATGACCTTGAAAAGGGATCCAGGAGAGACAGTATCACTCATTGGACTACCTGAAAACCATAATCAAAAGGAAGACCTAGACAGTATATTTCAGGAAATTATCAAGGAAAACTGTTTTGATATCCTGGAACCAGATGGGAAAATAGGCATTCAAAGAATTCACTGATCACCTCAGGAAAGAGATCCAAAAATAAAAGCTCCAAGGAACATTATAGCCAAATTATAGAACCATCAGGTCAAGGTGGGGGGGGAAGACTGCAAGTGGCCAAAAAGAAACAATTCAAATATTAGGGAGCCACAATCAGGATTACACAGGACTTAGCAGATGCAATGTTAAAGGATTGGAGGCCATGGAACATGATATTCTGGACAAGACAAAGGACCCAGGATTACAACCAAGAATTACATATCCAGTGAAATTAAGCATGATATTCATGGGGTAAATGGTCATTCAATGAAATAGAAGAATTTTAAGCTTTCATAAAGAGACTAGAATTGAACAAAAAAGTTGACCTCCAATATCCAGACCCAAGAGAAGTTTAGAAAGGTAAAAAAGGGAAAAGAGAATGTAAGGGATTCAATGGAGCTGAACTGTTTACATTCTTACATGTGAAGATAATATTTGTAACTATATATATAAAATTATATATGTGTATGTGTATATACATACACACACACACACACACACATATAACTAATGCTATAGCTAGAAGGAATATTCATAGACAGAGGGTAGAGGTATAAGGTAAATTTGAGGAAATGACATAAAAATTTAGGAATGAGAAAGAAGAGTACACTGAGTGCAGAAAGAAGTGAGAGGTAGAAAGGGATAAATTATTTCACATGAAGAGATACAAAAAACCTATTACAAAGGAGGGAAAGATGTAAGGGTGGACACTGGGTATCACTTGAACCTTGGTCTCATCAGTATTAGCTCAAAGTGGGAAGGATATACACAATCAGTTAAATAGAAATCTATATTACCTGGCAGGAAAGTAGGAAAGGAAGAGATTATGTAAAGTGGGGACTGACAGAAGAGAAGGTACACCAAGGGAGTTAGTAGGCAGAAGCAGAACACTGTTGAGAAAAGAAAGGGTAAAATGACAATGAGGACATACAGGAGGAAAAATAAGATGGAGGGAAATACACAGTTAGCAATCATAACTATGAATGTGAATGGGATGAACTCTTGAATAAAATGGAAGTGGATAGCAGAGTAGGTCAAAAATAAGAATGCTACAATATGTTGTTTACCAGAAACACAACTAAAGCAGAGAGACACACAGAGCAAAGTTAAAAGGCTGAACAGCTGAAGTTAAAAAAAAAAAAGCAGGGGTAGCAATCCTGATATCAAAGTAAAAGCAAAATTAGGCCTAATTAAAAGAGATAAAGAAGGGAAACTACATCTTGCTAAAAGGTACCACAGACAATGAAGTAATATTAATACTAAACATTATGGACCAAGTAGTATAGCGTCCAAATTCTTAAAGAAGTTAAGTGAGTTACAGGTTCGTGACCAAACAAGAGATAGAGAGCACAAAATGCAAAATATTAATTTAATATAAATTAATAACACTTTTGCACAAATAAAACAAAAACAACCAAAATTAGAAGGAAAACAGAAAGCTGGGAAACAATCTTTACAGCAAGTGTCTCCAATAAAGGCCTCATATCTCAAATATATAGAGAATTGAATCAAATTTTTAATAAGAAATGTTATTCCCCAATTGATATATGGTCGAAGGCTATGGACAGGCAGTTTTCCGATGAAGAAATAAGTTATCTATAGGTATATGAAGAAGTGCTCTAAATCACTTTTCATTAGAGAAATGCAAATTAAAACAACTGCGAGGTACCACATCATATCTATCAGATTGGCTAAGATGACACAAAAGGAAAATGATACGTATTGGAGAGGATGTGGGAAAACTGGGGCACTGATGCACTGTTGGTGGAATTGAGAACTAATCCAACCATTCTGGAGAGCAATTTGGAACTATTCCCAAAGGGCAACCAAACTAGGCACACCCTTTGATCCTGCAATACCACTACTAGGTCTGTATCCCAAAGAGATCACAAAAAAGGGAAAAGGACCTACATGGGCAAAAAATATTTATAGCAAAGTATTTCATGGTAGTAAAATATTGCAAATTGAGGGGATGCCCATCAGTTGGGGAATGGTTAAACAAGCTGTGGTATATGAATGTAACAGAACACTATTTTGTAGTAAGAAATGATGAACAGAGAGATTTCAGAAAAATCTGGAAAGACTTTTATGAACTGATGCAAATTGAAATGAGCAGAACCAGAAAAACTTTATACTCAGTATGAGCAACATTGTATGATGATCAACTATGTATGACTC